AAAGATTCATAATACATAGGGCTTTGGGTATTATGCAACCTAAAATATCATATTCAACTATGAGCTCATAAGAAAACATTACTGAATAATGCCTTTTATAACTTCCTAAAACCAAAAGTCATCTAGTATCAAAGATCACTGTTGCAATATCTAACTCTCTGTATACTAGTAAGGTCAATTTTAATGTCTGTAAATCACTAAATGCCAGGTTTCTGTCCTAGGAATAACTAAAAACTTTTTTTTTATAACTTTCCAAAACTCTTATTTTCAAAAACCAAATTCTAGTACAGGAATTTAACTTGAAACTATCACTAGAATTCATAACTAAAATAACTTAGACCTATAGATATCCTGACAAGTGATTCACAATCAACCCTGCTTTTAGCTTAATCTATTATCACCTAGAATAATTCAATATTGTGAAATCTCATAATAATAAGTCGAATTATAGTAGCTATGTCGATCAATAGCACATACCTGTGTTCGGCAAAGTACATCCCTCTATATGGAGGATACGAAAGTATTTCTAGATATCTTAATCTATTATCACCTAGAATGACTTCATAGTGTGAAATCTCATAATAATAGGTGGAATTATAGTAGCCATCTTGATCGATGGCATATACCTGCATTTGACAGAGTGTATCCCTCCATACGAAGGATATGAAAGTATTTATATATATCTTAACAAGCATTTGCTCCTTGCCGAAATAATTGTAATATAACTATTATTAAATATTCAACATATTTATACAAAAAGAAGTAATTATTCTTGCTCTTCACACAACCCACATTCTTCTCATGCTACTTCTTTACCTTTGCTACTACCAATCTTGGTTGTATCACATGTAAGGGAGGGTGAGATTCTGAAGAATCTCCGTAGTAGTAATTTCTATCAAACAAATATGCAAATTAAATAAAGCATGCAAAATAAGCCAATGGGGAACATAACCCTACTAGCTAATGTAGTTAAGCATTTATGCGCAATGGCAGATAGACAAGTTGAAAAAATAGTGCACAAGTAATTGGTAGACATTGCCCTATACCTATCAGATACACGTGATCATAGCTAAATAATTCATGCAAGAAATTAAGGATTATGTGTTCTCATGCTTTAAAATAGCAATATGGTGCAAACAAATATGTAGCAATTATATACAAATGTAAGATAGGAAAGAACTACTGCTTGGTCCACTTCCCTCTAAACCAAACCTTACAAATTTCTTCTTCTTTTGCTTTCTTTGTGGGCTTAAGCATGTATCAAAACCTAACATATTCGTAAAAGTAGATCAATGCTTGGTCCAATCATGATTCATAAATTAAATAACTCTCTTTAAATCCCAAATCTTCTTTAATCTTTACCCCTACTTAGTAGCTGGTTATCCTGAACAACTTTTCTTATTTATAATTAACTTTTGAAAGCTTTTCCTTTTCTATGCAACTCCAAATAGTCACTTTACTTAGTAACTGATTATCTTGGTCAAAAATATTATTTTTATCCATTACAATTAAGGACAATATGGTGCCCTTTTTTTTTTTTTTTGTGCCTATGCCGACTCCACTACATCAAGTGGTTGGTCATCATGGAAAAGTGAAATATATGCGCTTGTATGTGTAATACAGTACCTATTATTCATTTTGACAATAGTTAGGTATCTATTTTATTATTCAAACCATTAATTTGATACTTCTATACTCATTTCATGCTTATTTCTTTCTTGACGCATGTAGCTAAACCCACACATAGGTGTATTCATACTCATTTTTTTAAAAAAAAATTTTCAAGTTGAAGAGTAATGCAAAACTCAGTAAATTCTTCGATTTATGCTCCATCTCCTCTCTTCAATATCCTAATTCATTAACCCTTTATGTTAACATCTATAAACACAATTTAATACCATTGCCTATACTACCTTAATACGAACTTAAGAATCACCTTAACTTTAACCTTGTTTCTTTACGCTTGACTAACACACTCCCTTAACTCAAAATCAATTCTTAGCTTCTATAATCCCAATTCAAGAATATGGCTTTAAACTTTCATTTCATAGTCTCTATACTAGTTTGATCACTTAGAATACTCATTTAACATTTAGTCAAATTTTCCAACTTCATTGCTGATCGATATCTAACTCTCCTTATTCGAATATATGCATTTATTCTCTAATTCTTAACATATTATACTCTTAAGAGAATTAGCTACTTCACTTATTTTAGTATCACTTTTAATCTTTGCACCTCTTTAAGTGATAGCTTAAGTATGCTAATATAAACCCACAATTTAAGCCTCTCTAAGCTAAAATCTTAAATTCATTTTCAGAAATTTCCAGCCTCAACATAGAATTTTGAGTCACCCCTTCTGAGAACCTATAAGCACAATTAACCACCTAAACTTAATTTCTAACTTCTCCTAATTTAATTCTTTGGTTTCTAACCACGAATTCTATACTTGATTCATTCATCATTTTTTTTTTTCAGATTTAAGAAGAATATCTAAATGATCATTTAAAATCTGTAAAGCATACTTTATCATTTCAAACATCTTGTTTATTTCTCTCCAAGCCAAGTACTCAATTGATATGAATTTCCATTGCCAAACGAGGATTCATTTTGACCAAACACAGGTGTGAGGGAGAAGGAATTGCATTCTCATTATTCACTTTCACAGGCCATCCCAATTTGACAGCAACCACACACCATTCTTTGTCTAATATATGTATAAGACATTCTTCCTCCTCCTAATAGAACCTTAATTCGCCCAGCTTCAAACATCAATCCAAGCCTATGCTTTAAAAACTTAATTACTAACTTAACTTTATTATAAACTGCCTCTTGCGTTTTAATTACTCCTCTAGCTTCCACAGTCAGCGCACACAAGAAATCAACATATATATTCACTCACCTACTTTTAAAATCCTCATTCATTAAAATAACTCTCATTCCATTTAATCTCTTTAGCCTTTAAGCACTTAAGCATTTCTAAAATCTGGACAGCCGTACTTCTATATTCTTAAGAACTTTTCAAATTTACTAAAATCCTCTTTTGGACACATTAAAGCTTAAAGTCATCACCGCTTAATACTTCCCATTCCATCTACATTGACCAACCAAACAGGGAAGGGAATGAGTTTCGGGTTTTTGTCAGTCACTTTCTCCATACTCCACATCGGAGCCTCTAATTACTTAGTATGTTTTGATTCATACTTTTGTACATCTTTAAAAACATAATTAAATATCAAGGCAATGGGTTATTTTTCGGTTTCTACTTCCAAATTTCAGCTCCAACAACCCCCAACATCAAACAACCAAGTAACACTTATATAATTTACACACTTAAACATTTGAATACTTTAGACAATCCAAATAAACTCCTCCAGATAGCAAAGTGCAGAATTAGAAATCATCCTAAACTCACTTCCAATTCTAACACTATTCATACACACACGTCTATGCTTTCAGGTTCAATAGATTATGAAAATAATTCTTCATTTAACACACACACGTCTATGCTTATGGGTTCAATAGATTAGGAAAATAATTCTTCATTCAACATACAGACATGCGCGCGCACATATATCATATCACCTGCTCCTACTTCCTAACGCCCTTCAAACTTCACTAACAATAATATATATACCCACTGTTTCAGATTCTAAAATTTCAACTTCCACAGTCACCCACTCAAGCAATCATATATTTATGTGTGTGTATATATAACTCATTAACCCTGTTTCGAAGGCCATAAACCAGAGGAGATCAAGCAGAACCTACACCCAAATTCAACATGCAAAACCAGATCCTGTTTAATCTAACCTTACCCCACCTATAGCTAACCTTTTCTTATCTTGATCATGAATTTAACTCCACTTGATCTCAAATTTCAACCACCCAATACTTCCAAAACTCCACTTAGATGGTGAAACAAAGGGTAGAAGAAGAGTTGGGGAGCTTACCTTAGTCAGAAACCTTAATTGCATGTAACTCGAACTCCTCTAATCACTCCTCCAGCTCTGCCATGCTCTACTTCTCTCTCATCTCTCTCTCTCCCCCCACTTATGCTTTTGGCTCGAAATAAGGAAGGGAAGAGATTTCTAAGTGATTAAACGAAGGGAAAATTGCAATAAGGTCCTACCCAGGAGAATTAAATACAAAAATCATCAAATTATAAGTTCTAAGTTTCATTTGGCTCAATGAAAGGGAAGGGAGAGGAGAGGAGAGATCAATATCAATCAATATATATATATATATATATATATGTGTAGATACTCTTCCACCAAGATTATTGATCGCACCTCTCACAATGCATGTATTGTTAGCTAGCTTCAATACAACAAATATATTTGGCTTAAAATAGTACATTTTCTCAATCCATATCAATCTCATTTCAAATGCTTTTCTGTTCGATGAGTTTGCATATAGTTCTCTCTCTCTTTTAAAAGGTCTAAGTCATATTTTTTCAAGATGACTTTTTTTTAATTATTTATTATCATAAAAAGTAGATCATGGTTATTATCAACAATAAATTGATACTCCCTCCGTTCCTTATTATAAGAGACATTTGATGCTTATGGCATGTTCCTATATATAAGAGACACTTACAAGTTGTCTCTACTTTTTTGTGTTGATTTACTATTTTACCCATATTTATTATCTCCAACTCACACTCTCTCTCCCTCCCACTTCTCTTTCTTTTAATAATTTAATTGTTCTCTCTCATGCTCTCTCTCCTTATTAATGAGGGTATTTTTGGAAAAAAAATTATACTTTTTACATATTAATTGTTCTTAACTAATTTTAACTATTTTTTTTATCAACGTACTTCGGTTATTTGTCTCTTATAATAAGGAACGGAGGGAGTATTAATTACATAGGGAAGTAAAATCTAGTTTTTAAGGGAAGGGAGGGGAGAGGAAAGGTGGAATTTTAATATTACTTCATTTGGATTGATAAAAAGGAGAGGAGGGGAGATTTTTTTTTTTTTGATAATAAAGAAACCTCAACTAAAGCCTGCTATCTACCACCGTCATAGCGTCTTGTCTCATAATGCTATCCAACTCGTTCGGGATACAATCAACAACATTGAATCCATGCAACCCTCCAAGACCTATTTTTGCTAGATAATCTGCGACTGCGTTTCCATGTCGATGAACATACAAAAGTTTAACCTCCCAGTCCCAACTGAGTAACTGGTGTGCCTCATTGATAATACTATACTCATGGTGGCTCTCATCAAGTTGCATTGACAGTAACTCAATGGCATTTGTTGAATCAGTCTCTAAGAGAACCTTCTTATATCCCGCATCCCACACCATCTTGAGCCCATGGAGACATCCCCAGATCTCAGCCGACAGTTTGTCGCTGTCATCAATTCAGTAAATGAAGTCTTTTAAGAAGGAACCTGTAGAATTTCATATAAGACCTCCGCAAGCATTTATATGAGATCTGTGGGAGTATGCACCGTCAATGTTTACTTTTACCCATCCTTCTCTAGGAGCTTGCCATCATTCTGCTGTAGTGTAGTGAGGAACTCTTGAAATATTGGAGCCTGTGAGACATCATTGAGCATGGCAAATACTATACATCTGGGCTCTAGTATTACTAATCACTGTCTCATTCTCGACCCTCTTCCCTTTAAAAATGAAAAGGTTCCGTCTATGCCATAACCACCAAGTGACTATTGTGAACTGCACATTCCACTATTCCCCATTCGTAGACTTTTAGCCCAAATTCCACCAAAGCCACTCAGAAAGGTTAGACGAACAAATCGCCTCCAGTGGGAAGGGTGTACCAGTTGGCATCAAAGAAGCTTAGTTTGTCTACAATCTCGAAGAACATGTATAGTATCTTCTACCTTTCTATCACAAATCGGACAAATTCCATTTTTAGTTAGACCTCAACATTGCCATGTAGCATTAGTCAAGAAACTTCGATGAGAAGCAAGCCAAAGGAAAGTTTTGTACCATTGCAGAGTCCATAACTTCCACAGTCATTCCCACAATGGGTTAGGTTCAATATGCTCTTGAGATAGTTTCATATAAGTTGATCTAATTGAAAACTAACCATCTCTTTCCCATCTCCATTTGGTATTAGTCCCATCTTTTTTAAGCTCAATACCACTTTCAACTTTTTCCCATATTTTCTTTATCCCAGCCCACATAGTTAAGCCACTTCTCTCATAATCAATCTTCGAGAAAATATCATTAACACATCTATATTTGTCTTTCATAACCCTGACCTAGAGAGCATCATGATGTTTGACCATCTGCCAGCCCATTTTCATCAAAAGTGATTGATTTTGGTATTTTGCATGCCTCAGTCTGAGACAACCACACCACTTCTCTAAACAAATTGTGTCGCATGCTACTAGTGAGATCTTATTATGTGTGTCAGAACTTCCCCAAAGAAAACGCCTATTATTTCGATCCAAGGCCTCTTAAGAAGACAAAGGAAGTAAGGCAGTTTGCATAACATGACCTGAAATTGCTGAAGTGACTGATGAAATCAGAGTCGCCCTTCCTGCCAACGATAATGAGTTCACTTTCCATTGCGTTAGCTGAGATTTCACTCTATCAATGATGCCTTCAAATGAATCCTTATCTACTCATTTGTGTAGTAGGGACACCCTTAGATATTTCCCCAAGTTTGCTGTTTGAGTAAACCCCAACAAGGAGCTTATCTCACTACACTTGTTATGATTCATATTCAAAGAGAAAAGAACCCAAGTCTTTTGAGCACTAACCTTCAGGCCTGAACATTCACAAAAAATGTCTAAACATTGTTTAATTAGCTCTGCTTGCCCCACTGTAGCCTCTGCCAACAAGATGATATCATCTGCAAAGAACAAATGTGAGAGTGGAGGCCCATGCTTTGTTAGCCTGATTGGTTTCCAGTGTCCTGTTTCCATATGTTCTTAGATCAAATGAGCCAATCTTTCCATACAAATGATAAATAAGTAAGGTGACATTGGGTCTCCTTACTGGACGCCTCTAGAAGATTGGAAATGATTCGCCTTGCTACCATTCCACATTAATTGTAGATTAGCTTAACTGACACAACTTATGATTATCTCAATAAATTGTAAGGGAAATTTCAAATCTTTTAAACACTTAGCTAAGAAATTCTAATTGACCCTGTTATATGCCTTCTCAAGATCAATCTTGATTTCCATGAACCCTTTCTTCCCTTTCATAGTTCACATAGAATAAACCACCTCTTGTGCTACTATGATGTTATCGGAGCTATGATGTCCAAGCACAAAGCCACATTGATTTGGAGAAATAATATGTGGCACAAAATTCTTTAATCTATTTGCAATAATCTTCGTAACAGCCTTATAAATGACATTACAAAGACTAATAGGTCTAAGATCCTTAAAAGTCTCCAGAGGCTCTTTCTTTAGGATAAGAACAATCAACGTCCCATTTACTTCTTTAATTGTAGAAGGATTGGCAAAAATAGATTTGACAAAACCCACAACAGAGTTACCTACATTATTCCATTAATTTTGGTAGAAAAGAGCATTAAAACCATTTGGACCTGGTGATTTTAGAGAACCCATGCTAAAAATTACAGCTTTTATTTCACTATCATCAACTTCACGAGCACAACTTCATCAAGTAGAGCATAAGTAACCTCACACTTTAATTTACTTCATAAACAAGCATCTTCAGTAAACAACGAGGCAAAGAAAGATGTTGCTTGGCTCTTTATTTCTTCACAGTCATAACTCTACCTTCCATCCTCCAAGCAAATCGCATCAATTCTATTAGACTTCCTTCTCCTGTTTGCATACGAGTGAAAGAATCAAGAATTACAGTCCCTATAGATACTCCAATCAACTCTAGCTTTCTGAGCCTGTAGTAGTAATTCTTGCATAAGGACACTTTCCAGTTAATTCCAAGGTCGTAGCTCTTACACCTCTCTTAATGGCTCGGTTAATTCCATTTAGTCTTCGCAACAACTTACTTTTTCAGCCTTTAAGATGACCAAAGACAGATTTGTTCCAGTGACAACAAGCCGCAGCAAATTGAACAATATTGGTATTCCAATCAAGAGACTCATTCCACTCCCTTTTCACCTAACTCCTCAAAATCTTCATGGAAGACCCAAGAAGTAATAAATTGAAAGGGCCTTTATGGCTTACCAATGTCGGCATAATTATCAAGCAATAGCAAAATAGGACGATGATCATATTTAAAGAAAGGAAGATGGGTTATCGTAGCATTGGGAAAAAGGTGATACCACGCTTCATTAGCATATATACGATCCAAGAGGACTTTTGAGTTGCCCCGCCACCAAGTAAACTTAGGTCCCACAAATTGAAGGCTCCGGATATCTATTGCTTCGAACCACTGGCAAAACTCTCGATCAACAGACAAGCAAAAGCTAGCGCTAGAGCGACATTTAGAATCAAGATGCATCGTATTAAAGTCTCTTTCAATCACCCAAGGGCCATGCACACACATATTCAAGCGTAACAGTTCATGCCACAAAATTTTTTGAGATGTAATGTTAGGAGTAGCATACACAATAGTCATGACCCAGTGTTCTCATCTACTATTTTCAATAGCCAAGTGCATAAATTAATGATGCCGTTCTAGAATTTCTATCCTTCTAATGCCTACATTCCACAGATACCAGATACCTTTGCTAAAACCCTCAGCATCAATAAAGGTGAATTCTTGAAAGCCAAGACGAGAAATTCTACTTTCAATCTTCTGTCTATTCGACCTTGTTTCAAGTAGTGCAAGAAAATCTAAATTATAATGTTTTCGAATCTCCTGTACTAGGCTTGGAAAGGACTTTGAGCCGGTACCCCTTAAATTCCATATCATGAAATTCATAGGGAAATAATGACTGGCATTGACAAGTCTTTATTATCCCCTATTTGGACATCATCCATGATTTTCATACCCATCTTATCCTCATTAGGATTAACATTAGCAATCTATTGATGAATAGCACTGTGGCCACATACCCCAGTAGTACTCTCCTCATTTGGCTCTACGTATCCTGCCCCAACGTTCGAGTACATGTAATTTGACTTATCATTGTCAACTATATTAACTGCACCATTCGGCTCGATCACATGCAGTAAACAATCTGCTGTCTCTACTTGAAGAATAGAAAAGGAATTGGGCCTCAAAGTAGGCTTATTGCCTTTATTTGGAATTTCCTTCCTTTTAAACTTCACTTTGTTTATGGGCCTATTCTCTTTCCCACGCAATATGGGCTTATCAGCATCTTTTCTTTTTGAGCCCACTGTAACCCACACACCTTCTTTGCCAAAGTTCCTATTTTTATTATTAGATCCTAGCCCCACTCGAGTCTCCTTTCAATCCTTTTTTGATTCCATTGACTTCGCTATTTCCTTTTTATCAGCCCTCCTTGATATCCCTTGTTGATTTTTTGAAACCTGCCCTTTATCTCCTCCCTTAATATCTGCCTCCATAACTACCTTGTGAAAATCTCATCTGATTAGCATTTGTGGTCTCAAATGGAATTCATGGCTTGATGATGCAACTCCAGTGGCTGGAATATGGGAAGGAGTAGGATTCCCTTTTTAAGAAACCGAAGCAGTCTTCTTTATCTTCACCGATTCGTTATCTTTGTTATTCTTCTCCACTTCTTCCTCGCTAACCTTTATCTGAGTCGGACAATTCTCCTTGATGTGACCATACATGCCACACTCAAAGCACACTTGATGCAAGCCTTCATAGGCTATCTACCTATCTTCTCCCCACGCTGTAAACACTAGCAACAGAGGCTACTGTAGATCAATTTATACACATATCCGCGCGAAGCCACCCTTATCATAAATTGAAGTAGATCTGTCTACTTTGAGGGTTTTCCCTATCATGTTCCCAATCATCCACGAAGATTCAACATTATAGAATTCAATCGGCAAATCCAAAATACAGACCCAAGCTGCTATCCGTGTCTACCTTCCACGAGTTGAAATTGGGTCTCCAACATTGGACTAGTAAGTAGTGATTATCTATCATCTATAGTCCTTCCTGAAACTATATAGTAGCCATTATTCAACGGTGTGACTTTTATGGGTTGCCAGGGTTTCCACATCCTCTTCACTCCATCAATTAAAATATATCTTACTACGTCGGCCCCCAACAATTTAATAATGAGTGAATTCATCCAAGGTTGACACCACGCTGAATATTGTTCTGTAGACACCTTCAGAACAAGGTATTTATCACCCCCACTTTGTCTACCATTATCCTCCTCATCCGACCCCTATCTCTCTACCCTCTCCCTCATCTGTATTCTTTTTGGCAAAGAACGCTCTCCATCCATTCACAATGTCCTCTTCCTCATCATGGTTCATCAAATAGCCCGAGAACCCTAGCTATAGTAATTTATCCTTATAAGACGCAGGGGAAGGCCTATGCCTTGACGATGGGTTACCCTTAAGTTCTGGTTTCTCCATATTCTTCTCCCCCGCTGACCCCCCAAAGACAAACTTCAAAGGAGTATTGATCTCCACGCCTTTGTCTGTTTCCCTCCTGTCTCCCTTATCTCCGTTGTTCCCCCCTCAACCTCCTCTCTCCTCGCTCATTCTCTCTTTTTTCTACGGAGGGGAGAAATTTTAATGTTACCATGTTTGACTCAAGAGAAGAGATGAGGGAAAACCTTTTTATATGGATAACTTTACTCGTATTTTATATAAGTTTCTTTAAAAAACTTTGTAAGATGTTTAATAAAATATAATTATAAATAATATTTAATATAGAAAATCGTAATTTTATAAATTATAATTAAAATAAAAACTTCCACACGATCAAGAAGAAAAAGATCTCATCTTTTCAAGCAAATTAGCATCAAAATCCAATGTGAATTGATGGGAATTAATCCATTAAAATTTTACGTTGGCAAAAAAAGCATCTATTAAAACCTAATACCCATGTTGGAGTTATTTTGCAACGAGAATTGAGATCTGAAAAAGGTTAAGCATGTTTTATTTTTGGTCTTTTCTATTTTGGAATACTAGGGCAATTTGAAAATATCAAAAAATTTCATGGGTAAAATAGTCAAACAACACAAAATATTATCCTTCCCCCAAATCCCCTAATTTTTCTGAC